CTCCTAATCATTTCAGAGCTTAGGGTTTCAACATATGAGTTTTGAGGGGACACAAATATTCTGTCAACAGTAGGAAGGTAACAAGATAGTTGTTAGCTTTTTCCCCCACCTCTCAAAAATGAAACAGAAAACCGTATTTCCATTTGGTCAAACAATCAGAAAGTAGAAAAATGCATATGAATTTTTAAAGGAGATTTTCTTGTTCTCTAATTTTTCTTGCTAAAAAAATGATGTTAAAAAGAAAAGCACACTCCACATTGATGAATGAAAATAGCCTTCGAATGATGGATTAGAAAATGTATTGCATTCATTCCATAAAAAAAGTCTCATGGTAGAAAATAAATTTGCTCAATACCAAGGCTTTCAATTATTATCAAATAAAACATTTGAGTCATGTCTTTCACTATTAAAGTCAAGAAAGGCATGAGTGTCTTGTTTATTGTGATTCATAGAGAGTTTAGCAGATTTTCATGATGGCTGGCTTTATTCAAATTTATCATTGAGCATTCAAAAACAATTTTCAAAGCAAATTTTCTATTTCTTGCTATATAAATCAGTACAAACAAACCATCATGATTTTTAAGGGTTCAAACATTCATTATACATATCTATTCTGCTCATGTTGTAATTTTACTATTCCTTACAGAATTAACCCTTATTTTGCTTAAAGTATGTCAACTTAGAACAGTGACAGGCACATAGTAGGCACTCCAAACTATTTCTTGACTGAAATGTATCTTTAAGCTAGAAATGTGTATTTTGATCTTCAGTATTTGAAAACCTATGTTTTTCTCCACAGATTTTATCAATTGACTCAGTTAGGATTATTTACTATCTGTTTCACTAGGTTCCCACTAAAAGGACAGTGCACAAAGTTAGATGTAATGAAGAGACAGACAGAATGATTGGGTTTGCATATTGTTTCTCAAGTAGTATGCACCAGTGTAAAATACCATGATACTTAATTTTTTTCTATTAACATATCAAATTTTATATTAGGTGAATTATTTTTTAGTTTTTAATTTAAAAAAATTTTAAATTGCATTTATTGTTTTAGGGTGGAACATTTTTATTTATTATTATTTTTAAATATAATTTATTATCAAATTGGCTTACATACAACACCCAGTGCTATTCCCAACAAGTGCCCTCCTCAGTGCCCAACACTCACTTTACCAGCTCCCCCACCCCCATCAACCCTCAGTTTGTTCTCTGTATTTAAGAGTCTCTTGTGGTTTGCCTCCCTCTCTCTCTGTTTGTAACTATTTTTCCCCCTTCCTTTCCCCCATGGTCTTCTGTTAAGTTTCTCAAGATCTATATATGAGTGAAAACATATGGTATCTGTCCTTCTCTGACTGACTTATTTCACTCAGCATAATTTTATTAGGTGAATTATTTACTGGACTTTAAAAAATTCATCTTTACCAAATCACACAATTGTAGGATATATATATCATTCATTTCTTCCTTATATAGCCTACCAATTACTTTTCTACTTTGCTGAACTTTCCTTTTACTATTTTTTTTTTTCACTTCTTTTACTTACACAACATTAGGTCATGTTTCATTTAGTGTAAAAAACCTCCCTCTCCTCCAACAATTTAAGAATCTTGAGGATATCAATATGCTCCATTAAAATTTACCAACAGTTGACTTATTTGCCATTAGTAATTCAGTAGTGTGTCATTATAACAATGCAGAGGCATGAAAAAAATAAAATATTTAAAAGGCAATTTTTTATCATGATAAGAGCTCTTCAAATGCATATTCACATGGTCATTTTACCCTTTGCTTCACTGCATGGAGATTTGAGGCATTAAAAAAAAAATAGCAACAGGCAGCAGAAATAAATTTACATTTTGTGTAGGAAAGAGGCACTTTGTAGAGGCACTGTCCTTGGAAGGTATTCATTCTTATCAAAAGGATAGATCAGGGTAAATTGTTCCTTGTAGTATGTGACAACTGAGGTACAAATGAAACATCAGGATGTGACTATCATGGTAAAGAAGGCAGATGGTCTAGTGAAAACACCCTTGCTCAGTGACCAGAGCTGTGGTTCTTAAGTTTTACAGGTCTTTTAAAAACTTTTTACTTTATTTTATTTTTAAGTTTTACAAGCCTTATGTCAACAAATCACTATATCGAAGAATCTTGGTTCCACCATGAAAGAAATCTTTTGCTTTTTTTTTTTTTAGATTAGCATAATTAGTTATGTGATTTTTGTCCATTGTCTCAATAATGGTTATGTTAATTCTGCCATACCTAGTTTACTTTTGTTTACTATTACACGTTCATGTTCCATAACTGGAGAATCACTGTTAAGAGACATGCTGGGTCCTAAGGACTGAATATCCCAAATTCCACATTGATGATGCCAACTGATTAAACAGCAAGCAAAGCCCTGAGAAAGTAGATTTAAATGGAATTACAAGAAGCATTAATTCAATGTGGGGAAATGAAGGCCACACAGATTGATGCAGTGTACCAAAAATAAAGTGTGAAAGATTAAAAGAATAATTCAGATTTTCCTAACTACAGACAATTGTGTCCTTATAGGCAGTCCAAATATCAAAAGACAATAGATGAAGTAGGCACATTAATAGTAATAACATAGCAGTAACTGTAACAGCAGTAATTGTGAAAGCAAGAAGCCCTAGACACTAGGATTCTGGTGTTTATAAAGGCATAGAGCATCTGAGTACATTTTATGGTCAGGATATTTCTGGAAACCCTATGAGAAGATATCCAACAAGACAGTGGCAGGTGGGACCCGAGGGGACCAGGACAGAGACTCTCTCTCCCATTTACAGTGACAGATTTTATGAACCTTCAGAATGTGTCTGTCATAGGCCATTCAAGGAGAGTCACATCTATGAATTTCTTTTGAGTTCAAATTTAGTTTTTAGTAAGACTATATGCACCACAGGGGTGCCTGGGTGGCTTAGTGGGTTAAGCGTCTGACTTTCGCTTAGGTCATGATCTCGCGGTTTGTGGGTTTGAGCCCTGCGTCGGGCTCTGTGCTGACTGCCAGCTCAGAGCCTGGAGCCTGTCTTTGGATTCTGTGTCTCCCTCTCTCTCTGACCTTCCCCTTCTCACACTTTCTCTGTCTCTCTGTCTCTCTCTCAGAAATAAATAAAACGGTAAAATAATTTTTTTAAATGTGTGCTATTCTTAATTTTATTCATCCAGAAAGCTGAGGTCCAGTGAGGTTAAGTGACGTGCTCAAGGTCACAGAGTCAGGAGGCAGGAGAACCGGGAGGTGGACCGGTTGTGCAGGAGACTGAGCACGACGTAATCCATGTTGCCGGTGTTCCCCTGGNCTCCCTCTCTCTCTGACCCTCCCCTGCTCACGCTGTCTCTCTCTTTCTCCTAGAAATAAATAAAACATTAAAAAAAATTAAAAAAAAAGACTATATGCACCACAGGGTTGATTTTTTTTTTTTTTTTTTTAAATCTAGGTCTTTGGCGAGTAAAACTTTAAAAATATCCACTTAGTGCACCTGGTTGGCTCAATCAATTGAGAATATGACTCTTGATTTTGGTTCAGTTCATGATCCTGGGGTTTTGGGATTAAACCCCATGTCGGGCTCTGCTAGCAGTGCAGAACCTGCTTGGGATTCTCTCTCTTTTCTCTTTCTGCGTCTCCCTTGCTCGCTCTTGCTCTCTCTCAAAATAAATAAATAAACAAGAAATATCTATTTAGAAGTAAGAATATAAATGATCAAACTCAGATGGATTCAACTGGTTACATGTTAATGATCTAGAAACTTAAGCAATGATCTAGAAACTTTTGCTGATTCTTCAGTCTACATGTTAGAGCTGGAATAGGAAGGTTTGGGGTATATGTCCCTGCCTTATGCTGCTAGACATATGTGCAACTAGAGTAGCTTTGTTGGTTTATATATATATATATATATTTATATATATATATATATATATTTGCATAGATTTGTGTTATTTCACAGGAGAGCCACAGTACACACACACGCAAGCACACACACACACACACACGCACACATACACTCACGATCCTATCTATATCAGTACCCGCTAAGACCATTTCTTCTCCCTCCTCCTTTATGTTCCTGTTCACAAGAGGAAATTAAAAAAGTCATGCAGCATAAAGTAACATCACTTGTTAATCTCTTCCCAAATCTGGAATCAGTCTAGAAAATCCAAGAGGAAGTTCAACTCAGCCGTAGTCTATTTGCAGAAAATCTACCCCATGTGACTTCCCCACCCCACCACTGCAGATCTCTTATGTATTCTTTATAATGAATCCACTGAACTTTAATTAATATGAAAAATTCAGGTTTTCATCTGACTTAAACGTGACTGACATCACCCTGCCACTAAATGTGAAACAAAGTGCAGGCATGGTGAAAATACAGCCTGAAACCTGCTGCCTGCCACAGTTCTATTTTCCCACTGCCAAGTCATGGTTAGCATTCCCATGAGGCATGACCCCAAAAGGGTCGATGAGATAAAAGAGAGGAAGACTCTTTAGAATGGAACACACACACAGGGACACACATACACCTGCCATTTGCCGCCCCACTACCTTTCTGCTCATATGCAGTGAATCGTTCAGAGTAGGCACAACTCTTGGAGGGGAACTGTGTGACAAAGGCCACTTTCTGATCAGATCCTCGCCACTAGCCTTCTGCTTGCCCGAACCAGGCTGCTGCCATGTTCATGTATTCTGCTTACACCTTGTATGGTATATGTGCCCTGATGTCACATAGCCCCTTTGCAGGGCTGCCAGTAATCCTACATCTCACTTCCTCCACAGAACCTAGTATGCTGACATAGCAATATATGAACACCTAAAACATTGACTGGAAGAGCAACATTAACACAATTTTTACTTCAATAAAATACCCTGGGCTCTGCTTTTCAAAAACCTACAGTCATCTGTTAAAAAATGATTGACCCTCTCTCCTCTCCCCCACCATCACGGTGTGTGCCTTTGATCTCTTCCTCGCCATGCCTTCTCACAGGACTTTTGGGATCAGCAGCTCTTGGTCAAGAAACAAAAGCAGAATCCTCCCAATTCCCCATGGATTTGAATGAAAACTGCTGATAAAACCAAGTACAACTGCAAAGGAGATGTCGGAGAAGAACCAAGGTGAGTCTACAGGGAATTCCACATGTGATGGCTCACATATTTAAGCTCTGTCAAGGTCACTACCATCTTACCATATCAAACTGAAAAAGTCACCATCATCTGGACAGTTAGGCATATTTTATTGGGAAAAATAATGAATCTTTGTGTTTTTTTTTTTTTAATACCTCTTTGCTAGCAGATTGGTTCAGTAATAAATATGTGAGATCTATTAGTTAAAAAAAATATTTGAAATTAGAAATTTGTCCCAATTCTATCTATTGGCCTTGGCTAAAGAGTTCTATATACACCTACCTTTATTTCCCAGTACTGTGGATTAGGAATGACACAGGCCATCTCTTACTGCATAAATGTGATTATAGATCATTAGAATTCCTGGAGACTCTAATTAAAATTAAAAAATTCTGAAAGGATGAATCTCATTAAAAAAAAAAAAACAAAACACCTGAAATTCTAGTCAGTTTATTTAAAATCTAAAGCATTCCAACTTATTTTCAATTCAGCATAATTTTTTCCCTTTTCCCTGTAATCTCTGATAAATAATCAAAGATACTCTTCTACACATGCATACACATACACACACATGTATAAAAGTGTATAAAACTTTAAAAATTCATAGTATAACAAGAGAAATTGAGACAGCTTGATTTTAATGTCATCTTGTTTAAAGAAATACAGTTCCTGAGATGGTAATGAAAGAGAGCTGATGTCCATCTTTGCTGTTGATTAGCTGGGTCTTGAATTAAATATGTTCAAAGTTCTTTTGCCCATTTCTTAGATTTTTTTCATATTCATTTTGGTAAATTCTGTGGACATTTAAGTATACTTGGTTTAACTCTGTATTTCTATCAATATCTACAAGAACATGAGATGGTTTGAAAGACTGGGGTTAGTAGACAATTATGCCGGAGTCTCTGGCATTTTTGCACATCTTACAGATAGAAGCACTATCTGCTTTTGTTCTAGATTATCTATTAAGGATATTTGTATTGTGAAAAGCCTTGGAAAATACAGATGATATCTCTCTCCAGAGCAAAGGGCAGGCATACTTACTGTCTAGTATAATAAAGTTAATGTCTCTCACTGGGGCAAATGTCAGGCAGGCTTATTGGCCATTATAAAAGATTCATGTTCTCTAAACTCAGGTTTTTTTCTTTCCCCTTTAATCCAATGCATTAAGTATGTAGTTATTACCTGTGTGTGTGTGTGTGTGTGTGTGTGTGTGTGAGTGTGTGTGTGTGTCTCCTTGTAGAGATTAAAAACTGAAGAACCAGCACAAGAAATGTTGATGTTCTGACTCTACTATTACCATGAGTAGTAAATTTTCCTTTGTTTCTGACCCAGGAATCTTGTATCTTATGCCAGCATCTTTGAAACCATGTCAGGCTAATTTATTCACTTGTAAGTGAAGTCCCAGATCCTTTGTTGCTTTTGATAGCTGGGTATTTGTCCAATTAGGAATGCCACATTCCTATTTGTTATAGTACTATTCTTATGTCTATCAGATAATAGGAATATTTTCTTTGTACTGATATACCAAGGAGCTTGTGTTGTAGACCAGGGATTGGAAAACTGCTGCTCACCTGTAGGCCATATCTGGCTTTCCACCTTTCTGGACACAGCCACACATGTCCTTTCCATGTTGTCTATGGCTACTTTCACCTACAACAACAGAGGTGAGGACTTGCAACAGATGCTGTATGGACTGTGAAACCTAAAATATTAATTATCTTGTATTTAGAGAAAAAGCTTGGTGACATCTGTTATAGAGCAGACAAGGCAAAAGTTCAGTCTATCATAAGTTGATTTAGAAATATTTGGAGTAGGGGTGCCTGGGTGGCTCAGTCGGTTAAGCATTCGACTTCAGCTCAGGTCATGATCTTGTGGTTTGTGAGTTTGAGTGCCTTGTCAGGCTCTGTGCTGACAGCTCAGAGCCTGAAGTCTGCTTTGGATTTTGTGTCTCCCTCTCTCTCTGCCCCTCTCCTGCTGGCACAGTTTCTCTCTCTCAAAAATAAATAAACATTAAATAATTTAAAAAAAAATAATTGGAGAGATGATAAAATTGATATTATATGATAGTATGGAAGAAAGCTTAACAGTTAACTATTGATAAACCAATTGACTGTATATACTTCACTTCTACAATGTATTCAACAAATATGTGAGCCACCACCACATACCCAAATCTTTTAAAACTCAGCTCATCCTCTCTCTCTCTGAAGCTGATTCTGATTCAGTATTAGAAAATTCATTTTTTCTCTTCAGAGCTCCCGCAGCACTTCATCTAAACATCTTCTATAACCAATTTCCTACCTTATGTAATATTTACCTACCCATGATTTCTTAGGGTGAAATCCATATCTATAAACAGATTAACAAACTTATTCCCATGATTCAAATTTGGGGTAATGATTCACCTTTAGAGACCTAGAAATTGATTTGAACAAACTCTTTTTTAAAAGTAAAAATCATTAAATAGAATTTTTTCCTATAAGCCTAAATATCAAATTATGCTCTTAAATTAAAAACTTAAATATTTCCTAACACAGTCTTTGTAGATTTCCTTTTGCGATTATAACTTCTTAAAGTCTAATTGCACTTTCTTAGATGGTTTCAACTCAATAATGGAGGAGGGTCGCATAGAACAGAATCATTCCTGTTGGCAGGGGGAAGCATGTAGACATATCAATTCTTCAGAAGGTGATGCTGGACAAGATACAGAAAGAGATGTTACTCTGAGACTGACACAGGCATCTCTCAGAAATAGCAAAAGAATGTGAGCCAACCAGTTCATCCCCAATTGCAAGTTACACTGTCATGGCAGCAGGATTCAGGTAGGTATAAATGGAATACCAAAAGACTGTTAGGTCAAGGTACAGAAGCAGAATCTTAGAGAAGACAGATTCATCCATGTGTCAGGAGTTACCGAGCCAAGTCACTAGGGGAAACATTTTATGGAGAAATAGATGAACGCTCTACAAGAAATTTAGGATACACAATAATAAAAGTAACAACATTACTGAGTACTTGTTAAGAGCCAGGCTCTCTGTTAAGCAACTAAAATGTATCATCTCACTTATCCATCACAAATACTTTATAAGGTAAGGCTAATTGTTACCTCACTTTATAGATGAGAGCAATGGCTAAAGAGATTATGTAATGCTTCAGGTCACATGAGTAGCAAATGACAACGCATGGAGTTTGATTCCAGTTCAAGCACTCCAGAGCACTAACTTTTTTAGTAATTATATTCCACCATCTTCATATGGGCAAATCTGCTTCCCCACAGGCCTCATATGAATGAAAGCTTTAATCATCCACAGCTCTACTGGAGAAAAATCTCACGAAGATGGGGTGTTGAAATAAAGGTATTGATCTACACAGTTTCAGGTACGATTTACCTCTATAGCTCATTTAGTCCCCTGAGACATGTGTTTCTATTCTCAGTTCAACCATCAGGGAGTGGTTCTTCCTGCTCCCCAACCAACTCCATTTGCTGATAACACCACTGCATATATTCATGGTTCACATGTTCTTATTTCCAGCAATCTACTTCTGTGCTAGTCACACTTATAGGCAGAGGATTGTTTCCTGATAGTGGGTCACACTGTTAACATACTTAACACTTTGGAATAAGGAGAAGCAAACTTTGATCTAAATCTTTAAGGTGTGCTAATAATAATTTCAGGCAAATCTCATTATTTCTTGATGCTCTCAGAATACTACAACTCTAAAGTCATTGTGACATATACCAGCTGCTGGTCCAGAGCTCCAGGGTTTCAAACACAGACCAGAACTTCTTCAGAGAAGCCAGCATCTTGGAGGAGGACAAAGGCATGGTGGCGGGAGAGTTCTCAGCAACCGGCACTCATCTCGGTTTTATCTTTTCATTGTGAATCATTTAGTTTTACTCTGAGCTTACAAAAATTGAACTGAAAGAAAAGTAAAACTTTTATAGCCACCAGGATAGGGAGGTGAGAAAGTTTGAGTGAACAGGGAGACAACTTAAAGTAGAAATTCAAGAACAAGCGAGGAAGTAGCCCTTTCATGTAGCACAGAAATTAGAGTTTAAGGTGGAGTGAACTTGTCAAGTTGTTCACCAGGCAGGCATCTCCATCCTATCGGTTTTGGTGTCTTTATTTATAGGTCAAATGTTAACATGGCATCAGGAAATGGAAGTTTTACAATGGATAGCTCTTTGTGATAAGATGTTTTTGGAAAACGTACAGAAACAGGTTTTACAGAAGTCTTCTTGCAGAACAGCCCCAATTATAGTGGGGTTGAATAACTAAGAAAATAACAAGGTGTTCACATTTTAATAACGTTAAGATTAAGTCATAGGTTTGTAGATATTCTTATCCATCCTCATCACAGCTGTAGGGGAAAGTGTTTGTGGAATGTAGGCCTTAGGGAAGGGGCTGCTATATACCATCAGTTAGCAAAGGTATATGTACTAACTTATCTTCTGCCCTTATCTGTTCCTTCTCTCTAAGTTAGACTCTTTGTCTCCAGGCAAGACTTGATTTTTCAGTTATATGCTTTATTGCACTGGAGAGCCAACCATACCTTTAAAGAGTTTAGCTTATTTCCAATACATAGAATAGCCTCTTCGAGTGCATTTACCTTTGTGTCTACTTTTATGATTTCTAGAATAGCTAGGGCATGAAAGACATTTTTGATTAGTTGATTTACATGTTGAGCTGTATGAACATCCTGGACTAACGCAACGGTAGAAACAGAATTGTACATGTAAAGGTCAATCTTTTATGAGTAAGGGTCATTAGCCTGTTTATAGCTCAAGGGAAAGTATGGAGGGAAACAGGACCTTTTGGAGACACTATGTCTGTTCCCATAATCAAAAGAAGTTGTTCCCACAATAAGTTCTTTCACAAGGTGCAATCATCATACCAGGGCCAGAATAAGGGGACAAGTCACTCCCGATATTGATCAATGAGGTACCTTAGGGGTCAGTGCTCAAGCAGAAATAATTGAGTGGGGGTGGATATCGGTCGTCATCTGACTGGCAAGAGACCGTGCAAACTTGCTTTAACCTCACCAGGAGTTTCCTCGACTAGTGGGCTCAGAATGGCTCCCAACACATATGTATACATATACATCCATATATATATACATATATATACATCCATACACATCCATAGGCTGAACCTTGATTTTTGACTTTGGCAGCCAATGGGTGCCATCGGCTTCATAAAGAACAACTGCAAAGTGAGCGTGTGTTTCTTTTTATCCTGCAGTGACAGGGTTTGTTTTGGATATTTTAGCTGGTCCCTACCAGCCCCCACTTCCAGCAGAGTTAAAACTATTTTCAAGGGAAGGGCAAAAGGGATATGCATATTTGACAAAGCTTTTAGCATTATATGTTTAGATAAACATTGTGGTGTCAGTGGGAAATCAGTGATTGTATTTATTTCTGACAACCATAACTAAAAAAGTACCAGTATTTAAGGTTCTGGACTAGATCTTACTTTCTATTTTTGCATATACCCCCTACCTTTAAAAATATCTATGACAGTTACTAGTATATCATAGGAGCTCCCTAAATACTCATTACATTGAGTCACTAGCATGGTGGTTATAGGCTATATGGATTGATGTAGCTATGGCAATAAATATTCATAAACCTAGGGGCAGGATAAAATTATTCTGATTTCTCCTATATCTACGATTCTATACAATAGCTGTAAGATAAACTAAGTTAACTGTATTTTTATTACTTTCACCTGGTGTGTATAGCCCACTAGGAATGTCAGCTGAAATGGATGTCAGCTCTGACCATGAAATTGTCATTGGGTTGATGCCAATTCTCTTCTGAAAACTAACTGGCGGAGCCATACATTTTGTTGGGAGGTTGGCATAATTTATTTGCTAAGAGAATTGTTTATATACCACACCGGATATCACCTTTCTCCTGAAACTGGCTTTTCCTGTGTGTTACATATTTCAGCAGTATCTCCTGGTTTGTAAGAGTGAAGACTTCCTCTTTCATGTCTATTCCATTCTGAACTCCCCGAGTTTCACATTAAGCTTTTTGATTTTTTTTTTTTGTCATTAGGCTCATTTATGAATTACGAATGGATCATGTTCTTTACAGACTTACAAATATTATCTATTATCATCATTTGACATTTCTGAGAGGTAAGTTTTTATGCCTCTAAAAACAAGGCTTCAGGGCACCTGGGTGGCTGAGCCTGCTTGGGACTTCTCTCTCCTTCTCCCTCTCTCTCTACCCCTTCCCTGCTCGCTCACGCTCTCTCTCTCAAAATAAATAAATAAATAAATAAATAAAAGTTTAAAAACAAGGCTTTAATTTCATTATTAAAATTTATCCTCTTAGTTTTTAAAATTTTTTTTCAAGTTCCAACTCAGCAATGTATTAGCTTTTTAACATTAGGTGAATTATTACACTTCCTTTTTTATAATTTTATTTTTTTCCTCAAGACAATTGTACTCTTTAATCCCTATCCCCTATTTCCCCTCCACTTGCCACTCACCTCTGCTCTGGTAACCATCAGTTTGCTCTCTATAATTAAGAGTCTGTTCTTGATTTGTCTCTCTCTCTCTTTTTTTCCTTTGCTTACTTGTGTTATTTCTTAAATTCCACATGAGTGAGATTATATGGTATTTCTTTCTCTGACCTAATTCATTTAACATTATACTCTCTAACTCCATCCATGTTGCTACAAATGGCAAGATTTCATTCTTTTTTATGGCTGAGTGATATTCCACTATATGTATATACCACATCTTATCTTTTTATCTATCAATGGACACTTGGGCTGCTTCCATAGTTTGGCTCTTGTAAATAATGCTGCAATAAGCATAGGGGTGCGTGAATCCCTTTGAATTAGTGTTTTTATATTTTGGGGGTAAATACCCAGTAGTGCAATTCATGGATCATAGGGTAGTTCTATTTTTAACTTTTGGAGGAAACTCCATACTGTTTTCTAGTGGCTACACCAATTTGCATTCCCACCAACAGTGTAAGAGGGTTGGTTCTCCGTCCTCGACATCCTCACCAACACTTGTTGTTTCTTGTGTTTTTGATTTTAGCCATTCTGACATGTATGAGGTAAAATCTCATCATGATTTCAATTTGCATTTCCCTGATGATGAGGATGTTGAGTGTCTTTTCCTCTGTCTGTTGGCCATCTGGATGTCTTCTCTGGAGAAATGTCTGTTCATGTCTTCTGCCTATTTTTTTTTTTAATTGAATTGTTTTTTGGTTGTTGAGTTGTGTAAATTTTTTTTTTTTTAATATATTTTGGATACCAACCCTTTATGGGACATACCATTTGCAGTGTCCTCTCCCAATTAGGTTGCCTTTTAGTTTTGTTTATTGTTTTTTTTTTGTGTGAAGAAGCTTTTTATTTTGATGTAGTCCTGGTAATTTATTTTTGCTTTTATTTCCCTTGCCTCAGGAAATATGTCTAGAAAAATGTGCTACATAAGCTTTTTGAATCTTTACCTTCTTTTAACTACTAATACCAGCAATTTAATTTAGACCATTTTTAGTTCTGATTTGAGACACTGCAATAAATTTCCAATTGGCTTTCTTACGTCTAGAGTTTGCCCTCTCCAATACAACTTACAGTTCTGCTGGACATATCTTCTATATGTGCTATTTGTCCAAAAACAATTTAATGACTCCCAATTGCCTAGTACATAGGCAAAGAGTATTACTATTCAAACATAATAGTAAATACTTCAAATATTTTTAAGAATGGCTTCCTAGACATCAGCGTTATCCCTACCCAATAGAATACTCATTGATATGATCGAGATACATCAGCCCTCAGAGTCCCATTTCTTTGATTTAAAAATAAAGGAAGTGAACCTGTTTCTTTGTGGCTTACTGTTCATAGGGTAAAATTTATAGTCCTTATTAAATGCCTCAAATTTCTTGCTATACCCAGAACATGATCTATACCAGAAGGTTCCTAGACATTTTTAGGATATGGACCCCTTATGAGATTTTATTTTTAAGAGAGAGAGCAAATAGGGATGGGATAGAGGGGGAGGGAGAGAAAGAATCCCAAGCAGGCTTAGCATGGAGCTTGATGGGGCTCTGTCTAGCAACCATGAGATCACGACCTGAACTGAAATCAAAAGTTGGATGCTTAACTGTCTGAGGCACCTGGGCACCCCTGGACCCCTTATGAGATTTTGATAAAAGCTCAGGATCCTACCAACAGAAGATAACATACAGAATTCATGGCATGAGTTTGTGGAGTCTTTGATGATCTACGGAATTGCCCTGTACTTTCTTCCTTTAACACCATTTCCTCCTTTTTACACCATTCCATGGATCTACACTTTCCAACATACCTCAGGAAGATTTCTGAGATCTATTTCAGATGTGACATCCTCTACTGTCTTTTTAAATGTCACTATTTGGACATGAATGGCCTATTCTCTAAACTGGCATAGAATTTCATGTGTGCTTTCTTCATAATAAAAAATGACATTCTTCCTCATATTTTAATTATTTGTGTTCTACTCTAATTCTCTCCATTATGTTGCAAAACCCTTGAAAACAAGACTAGTGTCATCCTTCACACCATGGTATCCACCCTGACCTAGACTGTAAACATCAGAGATATTCAGTGCCCATTTATAAAATCAATGAATCAATGAAGAGTTAAGACAGCAGTTTCGAAAGCTATAATCAAACTTTTTATTTCCTGGTGTATTTTTTGTTCTTTAATAAAAGTAACTTAGGAAACACCCTAACAATAAATAACTGAAAACAAAAGGTGAATATAGGCCATTGGGCAGTTGTAGAATTTCATGAAATATTTCTGAGAGAGAATGCATTTTGTCCAGATTCTGTGGTAAAACAATGTTACTCCCTAAATACTAAGGTCAACTTCAACCATGAGTTCTGTTTTATATTTGTAATTCAAAATATTCAACTCTGAAGGACGCTTTTTCTTTTTTTTTTAATTTGGAGAAAATAAAACTCATTCCCTTAGCTCCTCAAAGTGATACTGTGTACTTTACAGATGACTGAGTGTTCATAGAGCACTCTGCAAAAGCACCATTTTCTGACCAAGGTAGTGGTCGGTGTTCTGATGAGTAAGTAAATAACCCTGTCTTACTGTGCATTTATTACCCCAAGGGAAATAGGCCTTACACATTCTCTCCTATTAGGTTGCACTCTTAGTCCTAAGATAGTCACATGAGAGTTAAGTTCTCTGATTAAATGACAATATTCCTTGATTTCCTGATCTACAGACCACTACTCCCATTGGGAGCTGGATATACCCTGCCTTACAGAGAATCTATTTTGACCTCTCTAAGTTAGCTTGTCCATAGGTCCATGACCTTAGGAATCCAACATTCCACAGTCAGTAGGAGTTAAAGCTAAAATCCTCCCCTCCTACATGACCTTTAGTAAGATGAAAGTGCCAATTCTTGATTTCGGCTTAGGTCATGATCTCACAGTTCATGAGTTTGAGAACTGCATTGGGCTCTATATTGACAGTGTAGAGTCGGCTTGGGATCCTGTCTCTCTCCTCTCTACACCCCTCTCTCACTATAAGTAAATAAATGAATTTTTAAAGGAAAGATGAAAATTGTATTCATTATATGACTCATGCATACAATCTCAAATATACTTATTACATATATTCCTTCGACATATTAATAGAAATTTTTTAAAATATATTTTTTAACTAAATTGATGGGGAGGTATAATCTAGACACTCCCCTTTATTTGGAGATGAAGTGTGAATACAGGTGAGCAATATTTGGAATAAAAAATAATCTAGGGGCACCTGTGTGGGACACCTGTGTGGCTCAGTTGGTTAAGCATCCAACACTTAATTTCGACTCAGGTCATGATCTCATAGTTCATGGGATTGAGCACTGGGTCAGGCTCTGAGCTGATAGCTTGGGGCCTGCTTGGGATTCTCTCTCCCTCTCTCTCTCTCTCTCATTCTCTCTTTCAAAATAAATAAATAAATAAATAAATAAATAAACAAACAAACAAAACATTTAGTAAATAATCTAATCTAAGCTCATACTTCTAACCCTGATGTCAAGGAAAAAGCCACAGGCAGCAATGTGGTGGCTCTATCAGTGTAAGAAAGGCCCAAAAAAGAATGCATGCTCCTTAAAATAAAACTATTGTAATTTTTATTTTGAAGGAGCTGGAGTCATAGTAACAGGAGGGATAGACTTATCTCAAGTGAAACCATGCTGTGTTGTGTCTGAGGGAGCATATCACTGGCCTTGCTTAGGAGCAATGGCTCCCTAGGTCAGCTAATGAGTTAATTTCACCAGCCCTGCTGCAGTGGCACTTGAACTGACTTTGGCAGGCACCAAAGAGAAGTATGAACTCCATAAAACAAAGGCCTGCACAGGGTCAAGGGAGAAAGGGTCTTGGTGCAGAGGAGGAGGATTTATGAACAGCCTTCTTTGGGTCCACATTTTGAAAGCTTAACTGTGTGACCCTTCTCTGATACTCAGTACAAGGGAATTAAGAAGTTAAATACAGGGATACCTGAGTGGCTCAGTCAATTAAGTGTCCCACTTCAGCTCAGGTCATGATCTCATAGTTTGTAGGTTTGAGCCCCGCATCAGGCTCTGTGCTGACAGCTCAGAGCCTGGAGCCTGCTCCAGATTCTGTGTCTCCTTCTCTCTCTGTCTGTTTCTTAATAATAAATGTTAAAAACTTAAAAAAAAAAAAAAAAAGAAACTAAATACAGTTTCTTTAGCAAGAAATCACAAATAATTATTGTTATAGGGCTGTTGTTTCTCCAATATTCACGTGTTGAAACCTTAACTAAAAAGGTGATGGCATTAGCAGGTGGGGCTTTGGGAGGTACTTAAGTCATGAACCGTCATGAAAGGGATTTTAGTACCCCTATAAAAACAGATGCCAAACAGCTCTTTCCCTCATTTTCTACCACATAAGGATATAATGAAGGGCAACTATCTGTAATCCAGTAGAGCGTTCCCAGCAGACTTGACCATGCTAGCATCCTGACTTCAGACTTCTAGGCTCCTGACCAGTGAGAAATAAATTTATGTTGTTTATAAGCCACTTAGTCTATAGTCTATGGTATTTTTCTTCAGCAGCCTGAACTAAGATGACTGTATATATACATATATATATACACAAAATTAACACATGCATGCATTAATATCATATAAATTGTATATACTCTTTGGAGATATACTTGAGTGCTGACTAGAACACTCTATGTCCTTCCACTGAGTTTGTTTTGTGTTTAGTCAGACCAAGACCAGACAGTAGAATCTGTTTTGGTGCAAGATGGTGACCATTTCCTATCTCCATCATCTTGCTCAGTCCAGACAGAAATTAAAATGCACTGCTCCCACACCCATTGAATAAACAATTACTAAGCAGGGTCACTGTAGGTGCTGACAGCAGTAAGAAAACTCAATCCCCTCAGGTGAGGACTGCAACCTGGCATAACAGGAAAGGGCTTCTCAGGCCCGAGTCACCCTGGGAGCTTTTAGGAATGATGCAAGGATGCAAGGTTCTCAGGTAGGAGGAGAGATCCCTAAGAAAACAGTCCGCACAGTCTGTGACTGTTATTCGTTTAACTTTCATACAACTCCCCACTTCACACAATAGATACTGGCATTACTATAACACCTTTCTTTTGCAGAATTTAACCATTAGGGCTCACAGAGAGAGAGAGAGAGAGAGAGAGAGAGAGAGAATTTCCAGCTTTTGGACAGAACTCTATGTGAGAGAAGTTCTTCATGAGAGGAAAGTCTGAGCTTCAGTCAAAATGGCTTAGGGTCTTTTACCAGGATGAGTTTTGGCCTGGGGATCCCAGGGGACAAAGTCGGGGGCATGGTCAAGTCTGTATTCTCCTCTCCTGAAAGGCTGAATCCCCTAAGGATGAGGTTTTAGAGTTGGCTTAATTGTGAGTGCTTTATTGTGGAATTTGTTAAGGTCGGAAGTAACTTTCCCTTCTTATGAAGTAATCATATCCTCTTACCTTCCCTCCTGGCCACAGTGGGCACAACTCTGCATTTGGGGAAGAAACCAGTTAGGGACCTTTACTCAGGCAGCCACATGCTTGTTTGCTCAATAGAATAGAGGGGATCTGGCCATTATGGCCCTCATCAACTACTGAGTAACTATGTGACCAAGAAGATAGCTTTTCCTCTCTGCTAGTATTCTAGGAACTAGTATGCTTTCTTTGGGCAAATATCAAGACTAGATTTGGGGGCACCTCGGTGGCTCACTTTGTTAAGTATCTGACTCTTAATTTTGGCTCAGGTCATGATCTCAATGATATCAGCACAGAGCCTGCTTGGGACTCTCTCTCTCTCTCTCTCTCTCTCTCTGTCCCTCCCCCACTCAAAAGACGAGATCTGTCAGACGTAGAAAAGGCAGTTGATCTGTGCAAGGTGTTCAGAACCCCCAATTTCCTGGGATAGCTGGAAGCAGTCTCCTGGCCTGTGACATTTTCATTTAGCTGAAGGGTTACCTAGGTATCACACTGTTCATGAGGCCATCCAGTATGTAGCTCTCTGGTTAAAAAATAAATATGTAAAATAAATAGAGATGTAGATATTCTTTTTTTCTTTTGCTATTTAAAATTCTTTATTTTTCAACAGGATTCACTAAAATTGGAACTCAGTATTACTGAAAACTAAAAGGCTGGAAAAAGAGACAAAACGCTTTTCCAAAACTGCCAAAAGGTGTGTCTCAGTGCTCTATGGACAGAAGTGGGCACCCATCTTACAGGCTGGTAGAAGTTATTTTGGGTAGACCCTCATGGTCAAACAGTGCAATACCCACTTATTTTCCTTAGATTAACTCTGGATATTGGCAAAGTAATCTAAAGGAAAGTACTTCAAACTGAGATATTGTTTTGTTTATTCATGTAAAAGTATGTTCTATAGTAGGGATGCAATGGTGGTTATCACAACAAAAGAAAATTTAATGTGGGTAACATTTCTAGTTTTCCACATTTGTGGGGTTGGAGTCATTCCTTTCCTCCCTGCAGAAGCATACCCAGACACTGCAATCCTTTGACTTTCTAACTGATTTAAGGAACACACTGTAAACCAGAAGAGAGGCCTATTGATACTACAGTACTTTTGAACTGGTCACTTCCACATTTACCGAATCTCTGAAAAGACTGAAATGAACATAAGAGTCCATGAAATACAACACTCTTATTATCAAATGCTCTGCCTCATCCAACTCTTCCCAGCGCAGAAGAACTGTGTTCTCTCTTTAGGGTGACTCTACACCCTCATTTGGCACTTTGCATCTGAATCTTTATATTTGCATGCATTCCCTTAGCAACACATTGTAATTCAACTCAATTCAATCCCACTTGGTTTAAAATATTTATTCTGTACCTATTACCTGTCAGGGACTGTGAGAAGTATTGGTGATAAATACCTGAGACATGGTCCCTGGCTTCTTATAAACAGCTTAATATATAGATGAGGAGGCTGGCACATGATCCGAGTTTAGTGGGATAAGTGCAACCACAGAAGTATGACCGATGGAACAGGTAGCAGCGTAGAAGTAACAGGGCTGAAGGCACAGGTGTCGAGACATGGTTCTTACAGATGTGACATTTGTGATAGGCTCTGGGACCAGTTGATGGTCCTTAGGCAAGGGTAGGAGAAAGATAATTCTATTTTAAGCAGAAAGAAAGCACATGCAAAGGACTAGAACATGTCATATTTGACCCATTTGGGGAAATGCGAGTAGTGCAGCACCAATAGAGCATATACTTTAAAATAATGGAGATCAACAGGAGATGATACTTGGACTCAGATGATTAAAGAGAGGTTTTGTATGTTATGCTAAAAAGCTTGGATTTTATCCTAAGGCCAGAGGACATTAATGCAATGATTTGTACAGGTAAGCGACAGAAATTACTATTATTTTTTTGGTAAAGTGTGGAAAATGTTTTAGAGGAGGTGTATGTTGTAGAATGTATGTTAAAACCTAATCTGCAATGGGGCACCTGGTTGGCTCAGTTGGTAAAACATGTGACTCTTGATCTCAGGGTTGTGAATTCAAGACCCACACCAGGGGTAGAGATTACTTAAAATAAAAACCTAATCCCTAATGTGATGTTATTAGGAGGTAGGACTTTTGGGAGTTGATGAGGTCATGAGGTGGGAGGCCTCATGAATAGGGTCAACAACTTCATAAAAGAAACCGCAGAGGGTTCTCTCCCCACTTCTGTCATGTGAGGACACAAGAAGATGTCAGGAAGTGGGTACTTATCAACCACAGACTCTGCTGGTACCTTGCTCTTGGACTTCCCAGCCTCCATAATTGTGAGAAATAAATGTTTGTTATTTAAGATACTCAGTTTATGGCATTTTTGTTACAGAACCTGAATGGGTTAAGACAATGTGTTTGGGCAGTAGATACAATTAGAAATGACTAAGGAGGAAGGAGCTGGGCATAAAGAACTATATAGTGACATAATCTAAAGAACTTGGTAAATGGGAGGGTTGGCAATGGAGAGGCATCTGAACTCATCCCCAAGTTTCTGCGTTGGATATCGTGGTGAATGCTGGAGCCAGTACAAGGAAAAGAATAAGATAGGAGATAGAGAAGCCTTATGGAGATGAAAATGAAAAGTTTGTGTTGGGTCTTTAAAGTTTTCCCCTTTCTACTGGTGGGATGAGACAAATGCCCAGCAAGCAATCACAAGTGTAGATGTGGAATGCCAGGAAGAAGCCTGGGTGTGTGTCCCCCAAGCCCGCCACCTGGCCCTGCCACTGCGGCTATTCATTTCAGGCTTTGATAATGATAGTAATGATGGTGCTAATGAGGAAGCAGCTTTAATCAGATGTGTACTTTATCAGCATATGACATAGTTTAAGTAAGAATGATTTTTTTTTTTTTTTCCTGAGGATGGGCTTAAAACATTTTGGATGGCTCCATTCAATTATTCACTGTCTTTGTTTTGTCATTTCCTTTGATGTGTTCTTTGTGTGCACTGGGAGACTCTAACTAGACTCTCCTGGGAGACACAGGGTCCATGAGGCGGGCTGAGGCTGCCCACAGGGTACCACAGCTCCAGCTGTTGCCATGAGAAAACAGCTGTCTCCAGAGCATTAGGACGGTTTAGTCACTCAAGACTGACGGAAAAGATAATATTGCTTTAAAAACCATCATCCACTCACATTAATCATCCTTTGCTTCAGGCACTCTACCAAGTGTTGGGTTCTTTATTTATTTATCTCCATTCCAGCAGACCAGTCACCTATCCAGTTCAACATGTAAAACCTCCAGTAATATACTTATTTGTATGTACTGACAACAGAAGTATTATATGTTGTGATAAGCATAAGACCATTATCTCAAATTGATCAATTATATTTCAGAGAGACTATTATTATTAGTAACAAATCAACTGATTCCCCATATTAGATAGTTTCATCAGGTGGTAATACGGGATCTAGAATTGTTTTGGTCAATTGGCTATCAAAATTAAAGAAGGCTGTCTGTCTCATTGAAGATAGCCAGGAAATGTCTTTTGTCTCATGCATACCGGTTGGGTACTCAATGAGCTAATGTGACACCCAACCTTATGGCTGGGAAACAAATAATGAATGCACAGCTATTGGGAGACTGGCCATGGCCATAGTCAGACTTAGCTCTGACTGGCACCAGCCTAAACCAGGGTGGCAATGAGGAGCTGAGAAAGCAGAATTCAGTACTACTAGCCAAAAACTACTAGTTTGATAGAAGTCAAACAAACAAACAAACAAACAAACAAAAAAACCCAGAAACACAGGAGAGACAGGAAGAGCTATCGGAAGAAAAGGTGTCATCAAAAGGAAGTTCCTTCACCTGATCATACCTTATTCTTGACTGTTTTATGTGAACTTTCCTAGACTTACTTTTTTGTTGTTGTTGAAATTTTTATTTGTTTTTGTCCTACCTATTCCCTGCATTCTGTTGGTTATTCTTCATTTTCTAGAAAATGATGGTTAAAATGGATGGGATTAATCCCTTGGATGGGATTTATAATCTAGTATGGAAGATAGAATATGCATGTAAATAATCACATTGCCAAGTGGAATGAAAAGGACTAAATGCCTGAAAACTATAATGGAAGCTCAATAGCAGAAGGAATTACTCCTAGATGAGAAACATGGAAAGGACACAGTGGCAACATTTTTAGCTGGGCAATGAATCATGGTTAGTGTCGTAGTAGGCAGAGGCATACAGTGGAATGTATTAGTGAAGACTCAGTAGTGGCAAAGCAAATAGCAGATTAAAATAGCAGATTAAACATACAAATTTATGACAAAATTGTCTGGAGAGAATTTGGTAATCTTAAAATCTTTTAGTTTGTTTTTGTACATGAATTTAATTTTATCATCTCCATAATTTTCTCAGAAAATACCAAGACCCTCAATTAAAACCCTATACATTTAATTATTATATGAATTCCAAAAAACATTGAAACATTTTTAATGCTCTGTAAATAAAATATAGGCTCAAGTGGTATTTGATTGTGGATAATTATAGTCATATGTTTATTCTTTTGACTTATCAGTTGAGATTTTATTAGGTATGGTCCTTTAATTGTAGAGAAAACTATTATAATCGTAATGTGGTATTTTTGCATTAGGAGCCTACCAAGTTAAGTTTACTTCATTTAAACATAACTTTATATTATCCAAATTGTAGGTTATCATTTTTGTGAGTGAAACTGAGCGCCAGAGCAAAGATAAGACATATATGTCCAAATCTACCATTTCATATATAAATGGACCAATTTAAAAGAAGTACCTGTTCAAAAAGTACCTGTTCAGTACTTCACCTAAATTTATGTTTGGGTTGTCCACCATTTTCTTATTGTTTTATTAGACTTCATTATACATTCTGTATATAAGTCCTTTATAGAACATGTATTATAGATATATCAAATTCTCATTACTTGCAATAATTATGTTCTTAAAGTCATATAAGCACTGAATTGATGAATGCCAAATTATTACTCCTGGGGGACATACAGGATTGGTTTCCTGCAAGACACTAGGCACAACATTTTTGTCTACTGATCAATACATTACCTTGTTTTACGTATTTTCTCTTTAAAGACACCCCATCTGATATATTGTTGATTCATTAGCATGAAACACACAGCCAAAAGTACTGTAACTCATGCCTACAGAGTTTACTAATACACTTTCTATGTAAAGCACAAAACAGCCCTTCTCTCATTTAGAAACACGAAACAGCACTTTAGCACTAGGCGATGGAGCCCATTGGAAACAACAAAATAACAAAACAAGTTCAACAATGCAAAAAAAAAATATGGTACTAAACAAACTGCAAAAAGGACACTTGTTTAGAACATGAGGGCTGGAAGAAGAAGGCAGCATGTCTCTATGTTTGACCTCAGCTGGGACCATGCATGCTAGGTAACTCAAATTTTCTGCCACTCTGTTCATGTCTATGAATGGCCTTAAAAGCACTGGCAGTATTTAATCTGAGGTTACAAATAAAAATTAGCGTAAAGCAAATTCACAAATGTGAAATCAATGAAAAATAAAGAATGGCTGTACCTTACTCTGTGGTTTGCTCTTTTATTCTCTTATTGTTGTCTTTTAAACAGAAGCTCTTAATTTCAATATGGTCCAGGCTAGCAAGATTTTCTTTTATGATTAATGCTTTATGTGTCATGTTTAAAAGATCTTTGGCTACCTCAGGATCATGAAGAGATTCTCTCATATTTTCTTCTATAGTTTTAATATTTTGCCTTTCCATATTTAAATGCATAAGTCCATCTGGAGCCGAGTTTTAATATATGGTAGGAGATAGGTCTTATTTCTTTTCTTTATGGATATCCAATTGATTCATACACTTATTGTGAGGATTATTCTTTCCTCACCACACTGCAGTATCCACTTTGTTATAAATCAGTTGACTATATATGTTCATTTACTTGTGAACTCACTGTTCTCCATTTATCTAGGCATCTGTCCTTGCCCCAGTAGAATGTGGTATTTTGATTACTGGAGGTTAAAAATAAGTATTGGCAAAACAAACAAACAAGCCAAAAAAAAAAAAGGGAAACACCCAAATGTAAGTATTGGCGGCTTTTAGTATAAAACTTTTTCTTCTAGACTATCTTAGACTATTTATTCCAGATAAATTTTAGAATATGCTCAACAATACTGCCACACACACACACACACACACATACACCAAAAAAAAGAAAAAAAAAGGAAAAAAAGAAAAGAAAAAGAAAAAAGAGGAAGAAAGAAAAAAGTAGAGAAATACTGTGGGTCTGACTGAGATTGCACTGAATCTATAGCTTAATTTGGGAAGAATTTGAGATATTGAGTCAGCCAATTCAAGTACTCAAGGTACTTATTTATATTTTCTTTAATTGTATTCAGCCACATCTAGCAATTGTAGTAAAGAATTCTTGTGTTATGTTTTAGATTCATTTGATGTTTTCTGAAGCTATTATAAATGAAATTTTTAAAGTTACTTTTTGTGTTTTGCTAATATATAAAAGTACAACTTTTGCATAAAGGCATTATATCCAATTACCTTCTAATTTCACTTTTTAATACTGATGTTTTTGAGATCTTTGTGTTTTTTTACACATACAAGTTTATCATGTGCAAAAAAATGGTATTCTATTATTTTTCCCTTCCTTGCATTTTTTATCTCTGTCTTGTCTTATAGTAATTGCTGGGACCTAAAATATGATAGATAAAACTTGTGATAAGGGCCATCTTTGTCTCCTTCCCAAACACAGGAAAATCTATACAATATTTCACTATTAATTATACACTTGCTATAGGGTATTTCTAGATTTTTCTCCATCAGATTAAGGAACTCGGCATCTATGATTGATTTGGTAAGAGGTTTTGAGCCTAAATAAATGTTGAATTTTACCAAAGGCTTTTTCTTCATCTCTTGAAAGATAAGATTTTTCTCTTTCTTTTCTCCTGTCAGTGTGGTGAATGACACTGATTTCCTCAAATGTTAAACAACTAAGTAAGAATTCCTGAAATAAA